CCTAGGATCTCGCCGGTAATCGTCACAGATGGAGCGGAAGTGGGCATTTCGGAGTTGGCGATAAAGGTTATTGCATTTGCTGCGCAAAACTTTGAACTCCTTCTGTAGAACCGTACTACTGCAGTCAGACGAGCGGTACTTTCTGTAGACGGTTTTACGTCGCCTAATGAGAGCTAGTAATTCCGGTGTCATGAATGGGCACTTCTTCCTTTTTCCAGGGGATTGTCTCCGTGATATTATGTAGGGTGCAACCACATCCAAGGCGTCTTCAAATTTTCCTTGCCACTCTTCTAGCATTACATCGACCGACGGGGACGAGAAGGATCCGAGATCAGAAATTGACAATAAATGAGAGAGATCAGAGCCTTACTGTAATCACGGCGGCGGGATCGATATATTTGTCCTTGTGTTCGAATTGACTTCGGAAAAATAATACTGGTGTGAACAAACTCATGATCGGTGAACTCATAGGAGTGAACGCTTCCGTGCTCAACACAATCCATGCTCGTTAGTACACAGTCGAGAAGTGTTTTAGATGTAGGTGTGATCCGTGTAGGGTGCGTAATCATATTCTTCAGATCAAGGGGAAGTAGCAGGTATGTGTTCAAATTGTCAAAATGATGCGTTTGAGGGGACAAGAAATCAACATTTAAGTCGCCCATCAGAATGAGATCTTCGCCCTGAATGTCATACATGACTTGCTGTAAAGATTGCCAAAAAGCCGCCAGTGCGGACGGTGGCCTGTAGAGACAGCCAATGAGGAATGATGCCTATCGAAGGGAGTCTCCTAAGTAAGAATGGAAAATGAGAAAGTATGTTCGTAAGGGAGAAGAGGTAGAAGATACATTAGTACAAAAGAAGTAAATTCAGTACTTCGGGTAGTACATTGCATGCTAATCATAGTGAGAATTAGAAAAGCAGCATTGCGGACTACTATAACTGACATATACACAAACTATTGAAACTATCATAGATGTGGTTAGCCTAGACACAAAAGTATGTGGCCAGCTGTGTTTGATGGTACGGTACGGTACGGGCCGGATACGGGATAGCGCCAGGCGTGACACAAACACACAAACAAACACACAAATACCAAACGAGAGAGCTTGGAAGCACAGGGCCCTACACTATGCTTTTTTGCCTTGATGACCTAGACAAAAGAGCATAGGGATGTTATAAATTCTTATAAATTTATACTTTTTGTTTTTACACATTACAAGAAATTCGAACCTGCACTATCGCCCCTGCATGCATCCCCCGATACACTTCGCATACATACTAATTCTTCCAAGTTGCTTCACGTCATGATCTTGTCTTTGAAAGCCCTATTTGAATATGGATTGTTGCCAGCCGTCTTTGATTGTACTGAACGGTACGGGACAGGTACGGGACAGGTACGGGATAGGTACGGTCGAGGGTGATACGACACCATCTACCGCCTTGATGACGGCAAAAAAAAGATTAAGTAAAAAGTAAATTATCGTATCCGTTCCCGAAGGGAACTCACGACGGCCGCTAACACCCGATAAACCCTAAAAAAAGATTAGGGATGTTATAAATTTTTTGATTCTCCTATTTTTTTAGTCATTACCTGGGATTCGAACCTGCACTATCGCCCTACATGCCTTCCCTCATTCACTTCGCATTCATGCTCATCCTTCCAAGTTGCTTCACGGTATGAAAACCCTATTCGAATAGGGCGGCCAGCTGTATGTGGCCAGCTGTGTTTGATGGACATATACGGGATAGCGCCAGGTGTGACACAAACACACAAACAAACACCAAATTATAGCTGCGTGGACCCTGGCTAGCGCCAGACGTTACTGAAGTAACGTCTTCTGCATAGCTATGGGAATTAAAGCCGTGTGGACCCTGGCTAGCGCCAGACGTTACTAAAGTTACGTCTTCTGAATAGCTAGGGGAATAAAAGTCGATGTCACGCACTTACACAGGATACTTTGTAAAGGGACATACAGTCTGGAAGAAGAGTTTGGTGCAATTTAGGCGATATTTGGGCGAATTGTGTGTTGCTCCCTACGTGGGAGCTTGCGCTGTTCCCGCCAATTTGAAATCTCACTGACTAACTCACCAGTCACGACTACCATCCAGAGCACATGAGAAGTCCATCGAACCTTCCACTCTGCAAACCTGCGAGAAAGCACCACTCTCTCCTAAATACACAGTGTGTCAAGGAATTCAGCCCCCCGCCTTCAGTGGAGTTGGAGTGGCCTGAGGAATATTGCGCCTAAAGACCACCACTTGTATAGTGATCTCCAGGGACCAAACATCACCAGGGATAAAAACTTCCAGGGACGTTCCGTCTCGAGCGCGACAAACACATCGTGAACAACAGATAGGAGCGTCAGTCCGTGTCGCTCATGGAAGTGTTCATCAATCGCTGAGACCCGTTGGCCATTCACAACGTTGTTTTCTCCAAACCATCTAAGGGTCTATTCACACTACAACAAAAACCGCGTACAAGTTACTCTTCCTTGTAAGTTGTCATGGAGAATCGTGGGAAACGGCGCGAACGTGAAAAAGTCGCTTGAACGTAATCAGCAACTTCCGAACCCCGATACAAAGTCACTTTTTACTTTCAAGTAGCTTTAACAGGTTTCGGAAGTAGCTAGTTGTTGAAGTATTTGTTGAAGTATATTGAGAAAATGCCGAGGGTTGTGTTCTGTGAAGAGCTGGGAGGAAAGCTCATTGAGCTGTGGGCTGCAGAACAGAGAGCGAGGAATGGAACGATGAAAAAGCGGTCGGTGAAGGAGAAGGAGATTGCAGTTAAGTTAAATTTATTCCCGTAGCTATGCAGAAGACGTTACTTAAGTTACGTCTGGCTCTAGCCAGGGTCCACACAGCTTAATTTTTATTTTATGTTTTTACTATTATACACAAACCCAACTCGTAAAATATATAATTATGTGGACAAAAACAAACAGCTACTGAGCAGGGGCTGCACTGGGCAGCAGTGATTGTGAGGTACCAGGGGCTTCACCGACAAAAAGGTCTCGGCTTCAATGCCACAAGCATGCACCAGGAAAAAGAACCAGAAATGTAAAGCAAAGCTAGATCTCGCTATGGGGAAGTAGAATGGGTAAAAGTACCGGTAGGTGTTTAGAAAAATAAAAACAAGATGAAAAGTGATTGTTTATTATCAGTGTTTAGACTGATGTACAATGGACATGTCAACTTCCTCAACCAAAACTTATGAACGTTTATAATAGATCTGATACGAAACTCGCACAAAGACTGAAGTGTAAAGAAAATACGCTAAAAAAACGAACAATAATAAGGCACCATTTTGATAATCCAGGGGAGGGCCCACGCCTGGTAAAAGAATAAACAGAGAAAAGTAAAGAATCATAACAAGTTTTTCCATGTATGCAAAACACAGCTGAGCACTCTGATCAAGGCCAGGTACGCAGATTAGCGGGTCCGGCCAGCAACGAGCTCGAAAAATTACAGGGAATCTGTTGCCCAGTACCAGTTGCTGTCTCTCAGGTGTCGGTAGACCTTTTTCTTGAATGACTGAAAACGTGTTTTGTGTGGGCGCTGCGACAGCAGCCTGTCAGGAAGGGAGTTCCATGCGCCAATACAGCAGTACGGGAACGACTGCTTCACGACGGATGGAGCTGAGACAGGGAGCGTGTATGACAGTTGATAGGCGTGGCTGGTGGCATTATTGTGCTGGTTTCTGGTTCTGGGGTTGGCTGGAGAAACGCGATGCGGTGGCAATACAGCAAGTAGGTTGGGGCAAGAGAGTGAGTGAGGGTAGCGTTTATTCTCAGATCGTAGATTTTCGCCTTTTGGATAGCCCAGTCGGCATCAGGCCGGTCTGGAGGTCCCGGTAGGGTCTAAACAGCGGTTGTAGTGGTCCAGTGTTATAGGTAGCAGTAGTAGTGTGGTGCCCGTAGTCGTAGTCCTAAAAAATTTTGAAATTTGCGAGCTGACAGGCGAGCCGACAAAACTGCTCTGCTCTCTGCCTGGTATTGAGAAAAATGTGGTTAGCTTGCTGCAGACTTTGACAAATTTTGTCAACGAGTCTAGAGACCGGAAGAGGTGCCCCCTACGACGCTTAGATGAGCTCTCTGCACAAATCGTGGAGTTGAAGGCGGAGGTTCGTGTCTCCCTTGAAAAGAAGTCCGCCATTACAGCCGTGGATTCCTCCTCGGAGCTGCCCGGCAGTACCCATACTCTCAACAGCCAGCGTACACGCCGTACCCGTACCAAAGGCAAAGGCAACCATGAAAGCAAGCAGCAGCAGCAGGATCTGCAGGATCAGGAAACAACTGGAGCGCACGTGGAGGCCGTATCCCGTAGCGGCACTTTCGAAAAAGTGATCGAGGACAGTGGGCCCTCAGGCACGGAGTGCTCGGACGCAGATGACTTTCAGCAGCATGGCGGATGTCGATCCGGACACATGCCAGCCAAGCCTGTGCCCAACGCAACCCCTACATTGGACTTGGAGGCCATCCAGGTTGATTCTTGGCAGTTGGTAGCTCAAGAGCCTCGCCGCAAGAAGCGAGTAGTTGTCTTTATTGGCAATCTTAGTTCCCAGTGCAATGACCAACGGCTCAGCGAGTTCATCACAACACGCTCCACCGCAGTACACCAGACAGTTGCAGTTCATGATTGCAGTGTCCGTGAAAACAAGAAGGGAATGACGACAGGAAGAGTAACTGTTGATGCTGATGCCCTCTCCACAGTCACCTCTGTAAACTTTTGGCCTAGACCACTGTACGCGAGGGAGTGGACATTCCATGAAAAACGTCATGGGCCAGTGCCAGGAAAGGGAAATGGACAGCCTGTGCTGTCGAAGAAGTCACGCAAGGACTCAACCACTCACAGCTCTGAACTGACACCATTGCCTCCCGACCACAAGCGGCGGCATGGGGATTCACCTGACTCCGGCAGTCCACTGCTCAAGAAACTGGACGAAGACCACCAGCAGCAAGAGTCTGCGGGCAACAACAACTGAATGCAGACAGCCAGCAATCATGAAGCTCCTCCTGACCAATACAGGCGGGCTGCTGTCCAAATACGGAGAGTTTCAGCACACCCTGTTGCTCTCAGGAGCGGATATTGCCATAGTGACAGAGACGAAACTAACAGTGGATAAATGCTCTCACAGTGCAACTATGATCCCGGAATACTGTGGCCCGATTCGCCGAAACCGAACAGAACACGGAGGTGGCATTGGAGTCTCGATCAAAGCCGGCATCGCGTACCAGCATCTGGATCAGTACCAGTCTGCTGAATTCGAAACAGCCTGGCTCACCGTTGGCCAGTGCAACAGCAAAACTGTCATAGGTGCAGCCTATCGCCCTGGTTCCTGCGCTGACAACGATCTGCCTCTACTCGAGCACTTAGACCAAAACATAGATACCATGCGGCAGCATGGTAAGCATATGATTCTGGCTGGAGATTTTATTGTTCACAGCACGTCCTGGCTTGGCAGCTCTCGAACGTCAATCGCAGGGGAGTTCTTAGAAAAAATCAGTGCAACACACTGTCTTGTCCAGCACGTGACCCAGCCAACCCGTGGGCCAAACACATTGGATCTCCTCTTGTCCGACTTTCCTGGCACTGTCCACACAGCAGTATCATGTCCCATCGGGCGCTCTGACCACTGTGTAGTATTGTCCAACTTTCAGGAAATCACTCTTGTACTGGAGCGGCCAACAAGCAGGAAAGTATGGCGTTATGGCCAAGCAGACTGGGGCAGGCTGAGGGCACATTTCCGCAGCTTTGACTGGGCTGCTGTCGTCTGCGATGTCCCCGAACTTCCATGTGAACAACTCACAACTGTAATTCTGGATGGAATGGACACGTTTATACCATCTAAGACCCTGACAGTACGGACGACAGACCCTTGTTGGTGGACACCTGAGTGCAGCACTGTAGTTGAAGCAAAGACTCGTGCATGGAAACGGTGGCGTCAGCACCCCAATGATGGAGATTTGCGAGCTTCATTCATCGACCTAGTGGCACGAACAGCTGCTATTTTGCTGCGCGCCCAATCATCACATAATGCTCGTGTCAAAGCTAAGCTCAGCTCAGGCTCACTTAACGACAAGCAATGGTGGTCTAACATGAAGATAGCTGCTGTGATGGAGCGTGCCTCTGAGATACCTCTGCTGAAGAACATCGACGGCACAGAGTATCCAACTCGCCAAGCCAAGGCCAATTGCCTCGCCAGGTACTACTCCCAGAAGTGTAGCCTTGCAGATGATGATATGTCTCCAGACGATCTGCCAGAAATGCAGCATTTGGACCGCCATGGTCTTGACCGCATCCATTTCCGGCTTTCTGATGTACGCCGCCGTCTAGCCAAGCTTAATACATCGAAGGCAACATGACCTGACAATATTCCAGCAAGAGTCCTAGCTCAGTGCTCCAGTGAGCTTGCAGAACCAGTCACCAAATTGTTCTCACTCTGCTTTCGCCTCGGTGTTCAACCTACCAAATGGAAGCTGGCCCATGCGGTTCCAGTATTCATAAAGAGCCCCGGCTCGGATCCCAAGAATTACCGGCCAGTCTCACTACTATCCATCCTGTCAAAAGTAATGGACAGTATAGTAAACAAGCAGCTCGTGAATTATCTGGAGCGTTTCAATATTCTGCCCGACAGTCAATATGGCTTTCGGCAAGGAAGAGGGACGTGCGACATCCTCACTGTTTTGCACACTGAGTGGGTCAAGACTGTCAGCGATGGAGGGTACGCTCACATGGTGGCGGTGGACATGGCAGAAGCATTTGATCGGGTATAACACTCTGGACTGATTTTCAAAGCCAAGAACGCTGGCATTGGTGGCTGCCTGCTGCACTGGCTGCAGGATTACCTCCTGAACCGCAAACTATCAGTCCTGGCCCACGGCGACTCATCCTCTCCGGCGCCCATAACAGCAGGTGTGCCCCAAGGCAGTATCCTTGGCCCGACACTTTTCCTCTTGTATGTGTCTGACCTGGACCAGTGCCTGTCTCCCGAGACGCGACTAAGTTCCTTTGCAGACGACACAACCCTCTACAGCCTCATCCGCACGCAGGACAATATGCATGACATGACTGCCGCCTTGCAATCCAGCCTCAAGCGTCTTGAAGAGTGGGAAGAACGCTGGCGCATCAGATTCGAGCCCTCTAAATCGCAACAGCTGCTGATGACTACGAAAGCCACACACCCTGCTGTCCCTGACATCAAGTTTGGAGGTATCGCGGTTCCGGAAGCCAACACCATCAAGCTTCTTGGAGTGACATTTGACGCCAAGCTGTCATTCCGGGATCACTTGCACTCAATTGCGACACGTGGCTGCCAGAGGCTGGGTGTTCTCCGTCGGGCTTGCCGGGTGTTAGATTACCATGGCCGGCTTTGTGCGTACAAGGGATTTGTGCGACCCATCCTCGAGTATGCTCCCCTTGTGTGGATGGGAGCTGCATCCAGCCACCTCGCCCGACTCGACCGTGTACAGAAACGTGCAATGGCCATTATTGGCCCTGGTGCCCTTCTCCAAAGCCTGTGCCACCCCCGGATTGTATCTGGGCTGGTATACCTGTACAAGCTCCAATGCATCCCAGGACCACCCCAGCTCACCGCCATGATCCCCCCTCCAGCCAACCTTGTAGAAGCCCGGCGCACCCGGAGTCAGCCCCCTCCTCGCCATCAGCACCATGTGCAGCTGCAGCAAGTCCTGGACAGGAGAGCACCTGCCTATGCTTCTCCTTCCCGTTTTCTGTAGTGTCAGTATGGAACAGCTTGCCGAGCGAAATTGTAAGGGCTCCACTCAGCTTGAAGCGGCTCCACACGTTCAAAGAAGATGTCCATAAGTACCTCACGCACCAACACTGGCTGATGGCTACCGACTTCTACGGATGAACTCTTGACTGTGGCACGGGTCATGTTCCTTGGTTCGGCTATGCTGATGATATTGGGCTTCATTTACCTTTTATTATTTAATTTTTTACCATTAATTTATTATTTAGTTTGTCTTGTTTGTTATGATTTCTTGGTTTTCCACCCGGTTTAGTTATAATTTAAATTATTATTTGGTGCAGCTTTAGCGCTATGTGGTTTATTATTTTCCTTTTTCTTAATTTCGTATTTAGCGCTTTTAGGCGTCATTATTTTCTTCTCATTATTTCGCACCAAGTTATTATTTTGTGGTATTCTCTAGCTTCTGGTTGTTTGCAGTTGTTCTTGTGCACCCCCCCCCCCCCAAACACACATTTTTCGATGCCTAGTTGCAACGCTGACGCCGAGACCTCTGGTCGGTTGAGTTGCTCCCAGCACATCAGCACGTCGTCCCTACATCCCCTATGTTTTGTCCTTTTCCTCGTTTCTTTTTGTTCTCCACCTGATTTCCAGTAGGGCTGTGTCAATAGTAAAAAATAAAATAAAAATAAAAAGTAGCTGAGGAGGACCAGTAATGTGCAATTTGTACATGCACAAGAGAGCAGCAACAGTCCGGCGGACAGCCAGACTGGGGGGAATTACACCAGGGCCAATGATGCGCATTGCAAGGCGTTGAACATTATCCAGACGTTGGGTGTGGCTGGCTGGCGCGCCCATCCACAAAAGCGGGGCATACTCCATCAGTGGCCTCACGAATGCCTTGTAGACAGTCGTTCGCCCAGCTGGCGTTAGAATGTGGGCCGCTCGTCGGAGAAAGCCGAGGCGCTGCTGGGCGCGGACGGTCACGGTCCTGAGGTGACTAGCGAAGGACAAATTTTGGAGTCAAATCGAACGCCAAGCAGTGATATGCTGGTTTCCTCCGGTACAGGGGTACCACCAAACAGGATTTGGGGCAGGTCTAGGTCAGTGCGTCGGAGGGTAGCAGTCATAGCCTGTGACTTGGTGGGCTTGAAAGACACTTTCCACCGGCAACCCCACTCATGCAGGCGGTTTGTATTGCTATATTGACTGCGAGAATTCGTGCCACCCCACCTGGGCCAACGATGTCCACCCAGGCGTTATGAAGCGCCTGTAGTGCGTCTGCCGTGCCGAGACCTCTACGGAACCCAAACTGGTGGGAAGTGAGGAGCTGCTGGTTCAAGATGGTTCATCAGTTGGCGATTGACAATAGTTTCCATTACTTTGGACATTATGCATAAAAACGAGACTGGGCGGTAGTTCTTCAGAACAGAGCGCGACGACCGTTTGTGGATCGGTACCGCGTCAGCTGTCTTCCAAGATTCTGGTTGAACTCCGCACCTGAAACAGAGAGCAAATAGCTGGGGCAAAGGCTTCGCAAGTTCTTTGGCACACTCTTTCAGGACCCGGGCTGAAATGCCGTCAGGGTCAGTCGCCTTTGATATGTCGAGTCGCGCTAGCAGAAAGTAGACTGTGGTGGGGCGAAAATGAACGGCTGCGAGTGCCGGTGCTCCGGTTGCAACAAGGTCAGGTAAGTCGTCAGAAGTAAGATCTTGGCCAGTGACACTGCACTTCTTGGAGAAGAAGGTGCCAAGGGCCTCCGATTTCTCATGGCTTGTTGCCAACTCCCGTCCGCCCGCATCAACAATGAGAGGAATGTCCGTGTTACGTCCGTCCCCACTAGCATACTTTAACTTGGTCCACCATTCTTTGTCCTTGAGTGAGCCCGTGGACAGGCTGTGACGGATACTGGCCTCTTTAGCTTCCTGGGATCGCCTTAGGATGTTGACGGCTGTTGGAACGGAGCGGAGGAAAGCTTGTTTTAGTGAAAGATCGTTCGGGTGTTTTCTCCAGGAACGCCAACGTTTGTCCTTTTCCCTCATAGCAGCTGTACATTCCGGTGTCTACCATTTTGGATCACTCGACCTCGTGGTAAGTTCCTTAGATTGGACAAACCTGGCTATTGCGCCTCGGATAGTGGTGGTTACCCGCTCACAGGAGGTGTCCGGGTCATCAGTTATGATGTCGTGCCATGGAGAGTTGCGAAGGAAAGCTCGGAGGCGATGCCAGTCTGCGCTCTTGTACCGCCAGACAGTTCGCTTTGCTGCAGGTTCGTGGCAAGGTAATACGCCTACGAAGTCGGATAGAACGATAACGTGGTCAGACCTCCCAAGAGGGGGTGTGGCGGTTGTCAATACTGGGGAGTTGAAGGTAGGCATCACGAGGTCAAGGGTATTGTCGCCACGAGTAGGAGTCTGAACATCCTGCGTAAGAAGTTGCGCGGCACAAGTGTCCTCAAGTGCTTCGCCTGCCGGTGTGGTCTTAGAGCTGTTAAACCAGGCACGGTTGTGAACGCTAAAGTCCCCAGCAAGAGTGAGACTAGTGCCGTGTTGACGGGTAAAAATAAAGGGTATCGTCGAGATGATGGATAAGTGAGAGGTCACCGGGCCCGCAAGAACCCGGCTGGTAGACACCTCCCAGGACACTCTTGTGCCCGGCGCTGAGCTGGATGGATACCCACAAGACTTCATGCTGGGGGGCAGCCAGTTGATCCATGATCAAGGCTGGGAGAGTAGATCGCACCCAGATTATTATTATTATTATTATTATTATTATTAGACACAATCTCATAGCATGTGACAGGCATAGCTAATGCAGGGACAGAATCCCCTGAGACAAGGGCGTTGAGCCAGCCACGGCAATAGTAAGCTAGGAAAACAAAGCAAATATGAATTAAAGCAGAAAATGAATGGAAAATTACAAAGAAAAACGATTAACGGAAGTGAGCACTATCAAAATTCGTGCATCACCCAGGTATTGGAGAATGTTCTTCGATGATAATTATTGCGTCTAGTTCAGTTGTGATAGTAGATCTTTAAACTGACCAATAGAAGAACAAGTTTTCAGATCGTATGGTAATGATAACCAATGAGAGTGGCCGGAAAACAAAGGGGACTTTAGATACTGGGCTGAGTTAACAAGAGGCAGGATGAGCGCGTTACGGGTTGAGCTTGTCGAAAACCAATTGTACTTCATCATGTGTGAAGGGGTTTTATGAAGAAATTTTTTATGAACCAGTGTACAGAGATGGTGCTTAAGACGAACGGAGACAGAAGAAGTGTGTGCAAGTCGATAAAGGGCATCCGAAGGAAAATATCGATCCTTGCTGTAAAGTATTTTAAGAGAGCATGTCTGAGAATACCAAAGTATGTGTGCAAGTGGATCTCTCCGATTTCGATTAAAATTTGCAGGTAGGTTCCCTTTGGGGTGTGGATCGATTATGCAAAGCCCTTGAAAAAGTTTCTGAAGGGAACCTTGAAATTTGCATACCCCTCGAAAATGGCCGAAATATCACATTATTTATGGGTCTAGAAACGAGTCACGCCACAGCGTATACGAACAAGCTATGAACAAAACTCCATCAAGCCAACATTGCCTCACCTTAGAAGAGTTCCTGGAGCAGTACCGCTTAGCCACGCCAGCATCCCAGAAGACGAGGTCCATCACCCCCTGACGCCACAAATGATCGTCTTGAAAATAGCCAATTTACAAGCGCTGGCAAAACAGCCAGCTACGTCCTCAATTGGCCAGAACTATACACCGGCAGATAGTAGAACACCTCTTCTAGCGCTGAGGACATGTCCCCCATCTTCCTTTTGGGGTTTTCTTGAAATAAACTTTTTTGAATTTTTCCACTCGACCATGCTGAAATACGGCCAAAGTCATACCTGCGCAGGAAAGCTCGCTACTCCGCGACGTCTCCTCAGCAATTTCTACTCCAACACTACTCCCAAGGCCGCAGAACAAAGTGTAGTGTTGACTCTGACAAGGAAAAGCAGCGGTGATCACTTGTCACTCCAAACGACAAGCTTCTCCTTGCGCCACCAATAATTTTTTGTGCGACTGTTGATGCAAAAGTGACTGAAGGCCGGAGCGCAGTTTTTGAATTTTATTGCAAGATGCACGGTGAGATCGCGAAAATACAGAAAAAGAGAGCCCTCTACAGCACTCATGGTACTAGATATCGACAATAGGTGGAGTTCGAAATTGACAAAAGTTCATCTGGTTGCTGGGTGACCGGTCACTGGAGATCATAACGGTTGACTACTTGTCATCATACTGCGAGAGAACACGGCGAGGGCTGCGGCGGAAGAAGATCTTCAACACCTCATTCTTGTCCACGGGCATTGCATAGTGAACATGGAGCAACGCCAAGCCAGTGAGCCGTTCTCCTGTCATAGTGCTCCGCAGGTAGGTTTTCAAGCGACGCAAGCTGCTGATGCTCCTTTCACACGTGCACGTCGTGACAGGCAGGGTTGCAAGAAGCGTTAGCACTTGGGCGACACCCTTGCAAAGGCTCTCGTCAGCCATCTTGGCACACTGTGTAAGGCTAGTTGGCCGCTGGTTCGCTGGACACTTTGTGAGGACAGTGTGGAAGATGTCAAGCTCCGCTTGAAAGGTAATAAAGCTGCAGCCCACGGGAAGATCATCCTCGGCATCTTTGACAAAGCTCAGCACATCCGCTTTAGCTTGCTCCGGGTTGGCCAATAGACAGTCGGGAAAAATGGACATGCCCTTGCCGATCTTGAGCTGAAGGGGTCCAAATCTACTGTTGAACTCCCCAACAAGCTCATCGAGCAAGGGAACAGACACTGCTCTGCGGTAGTACTCCTCCGAAGTAGCTGCTGGTACATTGTCACGACCTTGCTGGCGTCGACATGTACGTGGTATGGAGGGCTGAACATTGACACCTCTAGCCATATCAACTGCCTTCGTAAACCATGTTGCGTGGGACTTGTCGATGTCTGCCCGGACTTTCTCCAGCGTGGCTTTGGTGTTGGCAATTTGCTTATACGCCCGGCACACATCCAAGGACTTCTCCTGGAGGCCCACGGAAAGGCCGACCAGGTAGGCCATCACATGATACACGACTCCAAATGTTACCAGGAAAGAGAAATCGGTAATTGACCGCAGCAGAGATGAAGCCATGCCGCATGTATCTGCACTCCAGTGGGCTCGGTCATCAGCGATGGCCTCCATCGTGGCAACAACGGCAGGGAATAAATCTGCAAAGGTATCCAGCGCTGTATGCCGCTGAACCCACCTGGTACGGCAGAGGCTGACAAGCTTCTTCTTCTGGCTGTTGTTCATTTCGTTGTCTGGTGTCTCGTCGATAATCTTCTCAAGTTTTAGTTGACGCTTGGGCGAGTTCTCAAAGAACAGTGACACCTCCCGAAGAGCCGTCCACATGTTGGACACAAGACTTATCTTGGATGCTGCCATGATGCATAGGTTTAATGCATGTGAGCTACAGTGGTAGTATACTGCCTTGGGAAGCTCACGTTGGATAATGGCAGCACAACCATTCAGCCGACCCGCCATGTTTGCTGCGCCGTCATACCCTTGGCCCCTCCACTTCTTCAGGTCCAGGTTCCAGGACTCCAGGGCACCTTTAATCTTCGTGGCAAGAGCATTGCCTGTGATACCAGTGTCGCAGTTTACGAAGCCAAGGAATTCCTCCTTCACCTCGTAGCCACTGACGTACCGCACAACTATTGGCATTTGTTCCATGTTGGCAGTGTCAGTTGCCTCATCCGCTAGGATGCTGACGAATGGTGCAGCACGGATAGTCTTCAGTAGCTCCTCACGGATATACTCTGCGCAGCAGTCAATTAGCTCATTCTGAGACTTGCCAGAGCAGTATGTCACACTGTGCCCAGCCCCACCAGCGTGCAGGTGAAAGTCGCGGATGATGGACGCATCACCAGCATTGGCCCGGAACTCCAACAGAGAGATGAAATTCCCAGGGTTTGTGTCAGCTGCAGTCAAGGAGATATCGCCTGACTCATCATGGGTTGTAGAATTGGTCCTGGCGTCTGGAACACTGACACACAGGGTCTCATTCCTGTGGCCTCTGAATGCAAGATTTTGCTTGCCACAAAATATTACGCAATCAAGGATCCCCTTCAGCTTCTGCTCATTCTCCTGAGATTGAATGGCATGCGCATCCACAAGCTGGTCTACCACATCAGGCTGCCCAGCAGACACGACCTTTTTGAACTGGCCCTGCCTGGCAACAGCGTCTTTGTGGGTTGCCTGTGAGCCGTGTTTGTCCAGCAAAGTGGTGGCCTTTTTGAAGTTGGACATAGGTCTTGCTGTGAGCTGTCCCTGATCCGCACCACTGGGAAATAGGAGGCACGGAAGACAGAACCCCCCGTCGCATTTGGGTGAATAGACCAGCCACGTGTTGTCCTCTAGCCACTGGTGACGAAAACGACGGTTTCTGCCATCATTTCCTGTGTGGACAGGAAAGTCGTGTTTCGGCCCTGGCACAAAGTGGTGGTCGACCAAGCGACGCTTCTCATCAGAGGACAACGATGACGGCAAACAGGTCCACTTTTGTGATGCAAGGTTGTAGCCTTCTCCAATGTCGTTTGGAGTGCCGCCTGAAGCGACTACATCAACCTCGTCGGGTTTATCCACCGCGGTAGACCTGGCAGCCTGGGCTACTTCTCCTGCGACCTCTTCAACTACTACCACTTCGTCTGACTCTTCACCTGTTGAAGAACCCTCATCGCCACTCGAGGAAATATCAGATTTTTTCGCTGCAGCAACAGCTCCCGCAGCAACAGTTGCAGAACGACCGAACGCTTCACTTAGAGTTAGCTGCGGCAGCGTGGAAGCTTTGCGCAATGACCTCAATGACGGCGGTCGATTTGACATTATGAAAAGAGCAGCTCAGTCATAGTCAGATACCCATACTTCAGGAAAGAAATCAAAGAATCCAGAGACCTGAAAGCAAGAAATCGAAACCGGGAAAGAATCCGACTGTCGCAAGGTACTAATGTTTATGCTGTGCACAGTGTAGATCTACGTTCAAAATTCTTGTTCGCGCTGCACGTGTACGTGTAGAAGGCCGTTTGCATGTGTACGTGTCACATCCGAGGTGCAGTATTATTTTTTTCAAAACCCAGATTGAAAATTTTGGGGGGGTGCACGTGCCCCCCGTGCCCCCCGCCGAGCACGCGCCTGATATAGATCACGCTTGCGTTTTACAGTAGACCTGAGCTCAGCAGTAACCCATGGTGGAGATTGCATGCGGGGTCGTGGAGATGTCACAGTGTGGGTGGCTCCGAATGAAGTGAGGTGCCGACGGAAGGCGGACTGGAGCTCACAATCAAAGTGATGAAGTGCGTCATTAACATCAGTGTACGAGACGTAGGTCACAGGAAACTCCGGAAGAGAGATCCCGTTGACTCCAGAACGTCCGTGATCGGCAGAGTCAGCATCGGTCCCAGGACACGTCAGGCCAGACATCCCGTCGACTCCAAAATAGTTATTTTTCTCTAATTTCGTCCACTTTTGGTTTGCTTTCTTTTCGTTTTCAAAACTCAAATCGGCCAAAGTTTAATGACGGTGAAGAGTTTCGTTTTGAGATTGGCCAAAGTTTCTCATCAGCCAACATTTATTGATTTACATTGGTTTACAGTATGAGGAGATAAAAGGAAAAGAAGGAGCAAACCAAAAGTGGATGAAATTAAAGAAAAATAACAATCCGCAGTAAATTCTGCAAGTACTTTTGCCTAACTCATATTCAAACTGATTGAACCGTTTTTGCAATACAATGATGTGGCCAATCAACGGAAAAAACATTTCCATCAGTTCTAATAACATGTACGAGGAGCTAGGCAAAGAAGCGTAAGAGCAAAGCGTAGGGCCCTGAGCTTCCAAGCTCTCTCGTTCGGCGGCTTAGTGTGTGGCGATAAATTTCAGAATGAGATCACAGTGCCGATTGTTCACAACAAGCTGCAACCTCTTTCATCTTCGATTGTCTATAACTGGAGTCATTCTCCACTCGAATCAACAAACAGGGAGACATAGGTAGGAACAACAAGATAAAGCCTCCACGAACCAATTTCTGAGTCGATGATTTCTCTTTCAGATCAATGTGGAACTCTCTGAGATAAAATTTTAAATATGAAGGGAAATTCCCGCGGGCGCTCCTCAAAAGTCACGTTTCGCGCCGGTGGTTCTTGCGAGTGTAGATGCAAGTGCACTTGCACGCCACTTGAAAGAGGACGCTACTACAAGTACGTTTCACACCTGTAGTGTGGATAGGGCCTAATTCCCACGCCCGTGCCGGGGACAACCATGAACAAGAGGTTGGTGCGACTTCGGCGTTATTTCGGGTGTTGTGCGAAGCGATTACAAGAATTGCGAACGAGCCTCGTCTCTAGCTTCAATATAAGAAAATCTAGGACGAGTCTTGGTTTGAAAGTTTGACAAAGTCTGGCTTCTGGCAGCCAACGATCACTGGGCTAAACAGTTCACAAACCACTTTTGGTCCAAAAATCGTCCGGGATCGGTCGCGGGGCAAATCGCAAGATTTGAGCACTGTCTACTTTTGCTGGGGGTCCCTTGCGATATTTTACAGTATGATTCTGTTACGATTGCACTGGTTCACATAATCGTAATGCGCCGGGAGAGGGTGCAAGAGGCCCACTCCCGTTCACTCCCGGCGTGTACCTGCGATACGGGAGGCAACCCTGACATGTTCTGTACCTTGCTGGCAAAGACTTCTGGCCACTTGTTGAAAGTGACACTACTTGATAGAATGCGTGTGTATGCGAAGTGTACGGCGAGAACGTGTGCCGCGCAGCGCGATAGTGCGGCTTCCAACCTAGGTTATGTGTTGAAAAAAAGGAAAACAAATTGAAAAAAATGAAATGACTGACCTTGAAAGCTCAGGGCCCTACGCTATGTATTTTGCCTAGCTTATCATGCATGTTATTCGATTTGTTGGAAACGTTTTTGCTACAAAGATGTAGTCGATCAGTATTAATAACATGCATAATGAGCTACGCGAAAAGCAAAGCTTAATGCCCTGAGCTGTTGAGCTCTCTCGCTCAGTTTCTGTAAACACTTTACTTGCATATATGCACAATGTACATGTACATACCTGTTGATTCAGCAGTAGACGAATTCCTTCAGTGCTAGCGACGAAGTTTGACAGAGTTGGCTTTTGGCAATAGACTACGAAACTCGATAAAAACTTTGTTCACGTCTTAATCATACTCGCAATGAATGTTGCAGTCAGTCGAACGTCGCTTGCCAATGGACGAATTTCATCCATTACCACCCTATTTTACGGTGAATATACACTACCTCCGCCAGCGGGAGTAACGTGAATACTGGACTATGCACACGTGAATGATGCAGTCGCTAAGGCCGTTGTAACATTTGCCATCATGGAGAAACGGAAGCCAATATCAGCACATAGTGTCACCCAGCTGCTGGACACCTGTCAAATTTTCATTCACATGCGATGGGAACTTTTTTTTAGTCATACCTACCTCTCAAGGTTATCTGATTTTGTGAGCTTTGTGATCCGTGAAAATTACTAATCTGTCTTCTGGATAAAGTGAGGCACTCACAAGCCAGGAAAACATGTAGTTGAGAGTTCGACAAGGTTCTTCTGTATCATGTTGACTGTAAGAGTGAACTTTGAAGGTGGCCAGAAGCTTCTTAAACTGTTACTCTATTCTTTCATCAATTAACTTTAGCTTCATACATACACATCGGGTCGAGTATATTGATGTAGAGCAGACCTGTGGATTTTTGAAATACTTTGTAGTCTTCGAACCTTTTTAATCTTACAGAATATTGCTACTTTCACAAAATTAATACCATTAAGAACTCAGGTGGTGAGCAAAGGAAAGAACTGTAAAATGGAAATTGTGGGCACAAGTTGTACGATCGAGTCCACCAACTAAACCAGATTTTGAACAGTCAGACGTCACCAAATTATTATTTTTGCTACTTGATCCTGCAACCTACCCCCCCCCCCTTCGATGCCAGGTTGCAACGCTAATGTCAAAAACTCTGGTCGGTCAAGTTGCTCCCTGTACATCGGCACGTCGGCCCTTCATCCCCTGTGTCTTGCTTTGTGTTTGTCACTTTATATGGCTGTGTTCCCAGTAAGACTAAAAAACAAAGAACAATTCAAATGCACATTTATATGCAGGCGCTAGAGACATAAATTATCGATTTTCTCGAAATTGTAAATTCAGTGGGATTCCTTCACCCCATTCTCCCCTTGATTTCGACCTCTTTTCGGACTGGCCGATGTCGGCATTGACTACAGTTGCAGTCAACCTTCGCAGAAAAATAATTGCATACATGTTGAGTGTAGAAAACATCCACTCCCAGCGACTCCACGGCGAAAATTGCTTATTTGGCGAAAATGTCGGCGGTTCCTTCAAAACCACTTTTTTCGTCGACTTGTTCGGCTTACCAAAATGGAAGTCTCCTACTCATGCAGCGAACATTCTCAATAAGGTTCCCTCCAAACAAATACATCTGTAGCGAGCCACAGTCTCTCTCCGAGGCAAATGCACACGGTCTCAGTGAACACACTGTAACTGGCAATTGAAATGTAACTAAAAAATATTTTTAAATCTCAGGGGGTGGTTGACGTTTTTGGTGCTCCTCGGAACAGCTTTCCGGGAGCCCCCCGCAGCAGTTTTACCCTTCTACCTTTGTCCTTGCTGAAACTAAGAATGTCCCTGGACCAGAACCTTGATCTTGCCCTGATCGGGTACCAGGAACTAATCGCCATCGCTGAACGCAAGTCCCTGGACTCCCCTTCGAGCCTCGCCCGGCCAGAGCTGGTGCAGGCACTGCGGAAGCACGGCGTTGGAGGGAAGCCCGTCACTGACACCGGTACGTCGTGGATTAATGACTCTAAGCTAGATAGCCTTGCTAACACTATCCAGGCCTTGGCGGGGGAGATTGCCTCCATGAGGGAGGACAGGGATAGCATAATTTTGTCCTTGAAGCTGGAAATTTCGGAGCTGAAGGGGGAAGTGCAACAGCTTCACCAGCAGTAGTACAATGGTTCATCCAAGCCCGTACACTGCGACACTCCAGACATGCAATCCCGTTGTACTCGTACAGTGAGTACGAATAGCACACAGCCAGAAGAGGATGCACGCACTCTACACAGCAGGTCAACTAGCACTAGCAGGGCCACCGTACCTAACACCAACCACATGGAACGCAGGAACATACCCGTACACACTGGTAGAAATGCAACAACTGGGGGCGCACTTACAACAGCAGGCGCCGGTGGTGCACCAGTACAGCCCACATGTACTCAGGGTGCTGCTGGGAGCACAGAAGGCGATCCCCATCAGAACAACTGGCAAGAACAGCGGCGAAGGAGCAATAAATCAGCGGCCCACAGCGATCCCATTGCCCGGGCAACAAAATCCAAAGTTGTGTCTGTCTACAGAAAAATGGCCACAGAAAACCCCAACCCCAACACACTCACTGGCACACATCTTCCCAAGCGATGTGCCTTCTTTGTCGGGAATGTTAGCCCTGGAAGTAAGGCACAGTCCATTGTCACCTGGTGCGCTGATAGGGGCGTTGATGTATACGCATGCACAATTGCCGAAACCCAATACTTTGGTACCTGCTATGCACGCGTTTCTGTCGCGGAAGAGTTTGAGCAAACGCTGCTTGACAAGGAATTCTGGCCCGACACCATTGCGCACACCGTCCGCAAATGGCGCTATGCCGACTCCGCTAGCAAGTGATGGGTCCTCGGTCACCTAGCCAACAGCTAAATCCTCTTGCCCAACCCTTTGTGCCCCACGCAAGTTCATCACACCCTTCCCCTCATTGCGTTACATATTCTTCTATATCTAGTGGTCATATTCCACTTGCACCACCATTCCTTCCTGATTCTGGACGACAAACTACTAAAACTCCTAATCAACAGCAGCTCCACGACGCCCCCTACCACAAACTAATGTCGGTCTTCACCCCGTTGAGCGCTCATGCTTTCCCGTTTTTCCCGGACCACGCACATTCTATTAACATTGTAACTATCAACTGTCGCTCTGTAACAAACAAACTTCCGGAATTGTACGCAATATGTGATGCCAACAAGCCCACCATAATATGTTTAACAGAAACCTGGCTAAGCCCGTCACTTTTATTCAGTGTTCCAGGCTACACATGCTTCCGTAAAGACAGATCTACACATAAGAACCTGAGATCAAACCTACGTGGCTATGGTGGCGTGGCCATTCTCATACGTGATGGGACATTTCCACATTGCACCCGTCGCCATGACCTTGATTCTCCCCAAAGCGAGGCCGTATGGCTTGAGCTTGGTGCACCGGCAGGTCTCCGGGCCAATCCGCTACTCATTTGCTGTCATTACCGCCCCCCTTCACAATCCCTTCTTGATATCACCTCCTTTTGCGACACACTTACCGACACGCTGTGTTCCTTGGACCTCTCTTTATTTGATGTTTTTCTTACCGGTGACTACAATGCCCACAATTCTGACTGGTGGAGTGGTGACACCACATCGCGTGCTGGTACGGAGCTATCACACGTGTTCTCTAGCTTTGGCCTCCAGCAGCTTGTCAATTTCCCCACCCGTGTCGCTCCGAATGGAAGACTGTCCTGTCTGGACTTGCTGGCTACGAACCGCCCCCTCTCTGTACGTTCTGTTGACGATGCTGCCCCGCTTGCTGCATCGGATCATTTGCAAGTCATTACAACGCTAGCCTACAACATTGCCACTGCTAACACCTCTTACAACTGCTCTCAGACTCCTACCCCTCCGCGACATGCCTTCCGCAAGGTTACACCCTCCACTTGGTCAATCATCAACTCTGCACTTTTTGCCTGTGACTGGCATCTTTTATTCACCTCCACTACTGTTGATGAAGCTGTGGAGAAGTTCACCACAGTTCTTGATGACGTGCTCTCCTTCTATGTGCCACAATACGGAGCAAGACCCGCTACACCCAAACATGGCAGCCACCACCCTCGTCAGTCCAGCCGTGACCCCAAGATCCCTTGGCTCGACAAAGATCTCCAAGGTGCAATTAAACTCAAATACGACTACTACAGCTTAAGTAAGAAGTACTCCACCTATGCTAATATTTCTTTATACAAAAAACAGCGCAATCTGGTGAAGTCATTGTCACGTTCTAAGTATCGAGCATATTTACGTTCGCTCACTACCACCCTATCTCACCCCTCTTCCAGGCCTAACCTGTATACCTTTGTTCGCACTCAAAGGACAACTAGTACACGTCAAGACATACCACCGTTATTAGCTTCCAATGGTTCGATGGTGACTGACCCCAAGTCTATAGCTAATACTCTCAATACGCAATTCACATCAGCTGGTATTCCAGACGACCATTCCTCTCCAATACCACCTCTGCAACGTTCTGCGACTGTGCCTTCTGATCTGCGCTCTATACATACCACCACATCATCTGTTCGCAGCTACCTAAAAAGACTAAAAAGCAACAAAAGCCCTGGTCCTGATGCCCTACCAAATGAAGTTCTCAAATTTCTGGCTCCATCTCTGGCGTACCCACTGTGCCTTATATTCAACCTTTCCTACTCCTCCGGCGTATTTCCTGATCGTTGGAAGATCGCTAAGGTCACGCCCATCTACAAGTGTAAAGGCTCCCGATCACAAGCCTCAAACTATCGTCCAATATCTCTTCTCTGCTCCCTTTCAAAAGTATGTGAAAAGGTATTTTACGACCAGTTGTATTGCCACATTTCACCATGCCTTAGCCCTTCCCAATCTGGCTTTCGGCGCAACGACTCAACCTCTGACCAACTAGCTCGTCTAGTACAAGACATTGCCACCCTTCGTGATGCTCGACACCATATTGCTCTCTGTTTCTTTGACTTGGCAAAGGCCTTTGATACTGTCTGGCATCGTGGCCTCCTTGCCAAGCTACATATTGTCTTTGGTGTGTCTGGCCCTGCTCTGTCCTGGCTGGAGTCCTATCTGAGTAGCCGATCCCAGTTTGTTTCTGCCCTCTCCATCAACTCTTATCCTCTACCAGTGTCTTCTGGAGTTCCCCAAGGCTCCATACTTGGACCTCTTTTGTTCGTAGCATACGTAAATGATTTACCCTCTATAGACCCAGGTGTCTCGTTATTTGCTGATGATACAACCCTACTGTCAGCATCCTCGTCCTCAGCGGCTCTTGTACCTCGAGTGTCGGCTCAGATATGCAGTGTCCTACGCTGGATGCAAACATGGCGACTTAGACCCAACCTGACTAAAACCGAAATAATGTTCCT